AAACTAAGGCTGGATAAAACCACTAAACACTGGTAGTTAGTTGGTCGTGGGTTCACACCTCGTCAACGGAATGGCCAGATGGAGTTCTTCGGGTTTTCTTCACGTTTGTGACATCTAAATAGGAGCCGAAACTGGCTCCTATTTAGTGTCACAAACTATTTAGAGTGTAGTTACTGGTTCTTAAGAGATCATACCGAGTGGCATTCTCCTCGGCAGATCACCCATGTGTCGCGTTACCGTATATAAACTAATTAAAAATAAAATCTCCTAATTATCAAACTTAAATACTAGACAATTTGATAACCTATTTTCAAATTACCAAAAATAGTTTTCGTCACAATAAAAATTTGATTTGTTTATTTTCATAATGAAGGCATAAGTTAAAATAATAAATATATTGAAAAAAATTAAATATTTTTGTGGGCTGATGTTAATAATAAACTAATAATAAATATAAATTAAAACAAATTTTAAAAACATATATTGAAACTGTACTCGTAGTGTATATGCAATAATGACATTAAATAGGAGACATGATTGAACTTTTTAACTAGAAAAATATAAGTATTATATCAATTATCAAGACAGTTATCTATATTGGCATTTAAAATTATTTATATAATAAGCATTAAAACAAGTTACGAATTTGACGAGACAAAAGCGATTTTAAAATTAAACTGTGAGGTGCATAATTATTATCTATTAATGGAATGTAATAGATGAAAGCTGAATAATTTGCGATAAAATAAAATTTCTAAGACTACAGATTAAGATTTAAATACCATTTAATGGATCTAATATTTGAATACATTCAAATTACATATTTAGATATTCCTTCTAAGATCATCCAAAGTTAAATATTAATTTTGAAGGTTAAAATATTGATATATACATAATCATTCAAAAATTGCGGCTTACTGTAATTTTGTGAAAATCAGTTTTATCCACCAAAAAGCGCACACAGGTCCTAATTATTTCTGCAGGATCACTAATCAATTAATGAACATTTTTTATTGATTATTTTTCTCCAATTATTATTATTATTCCTTGTTTTAAGCAGTAAATTTCAGAATAGGCCTACTAGGAAATTATCCAATTTATGGGTTATTTCTAGGAAATTAGGCCATTCATTTTAAACAGTATCTGTATAAAACAGAACCGATTAATTAAATTAAAACGCTTATTTAGTATAAGTACTTTTAATTTTCACAACAGTTAATTTGCTTAGAACACTAACTTATTACAATCTGAATAATGATCAACGTTTCAAAGTAATTTAAACTATTTTCTGAACTATAGTAAATACGAAGCGTATTCTTGCCAGTTGAGAAGCAATGACATCTAATAAGTAGGTCATTAACACTACGATATAGAAGTATATAAATGTCTATAAACTTTTATTTGGATTCATTACTACTTTTATGAATACAATTCATAAATTCAAATAAATTTTATTTAAAAAAATTTTTACATTTAACATTATAAATATAATCACGTTGCTAAATGTTTACATTTAAAAACAATCACAGACATTTATAATTAGTAAAATAATAAGCTATCATAAAAATAGTTTTAACTTTTCATTTATTTTCTAATTCCATTACTGGACTTGGGAAAGCTTAAAATTATTAAATTTATTACAAGTAGAAGATAACTTTAGGAACCGTTATTGACAACATAAGATTGAGAATGCTATACAGTCTAGTAGCCAGGAATAAGTCATTGAGGGCTAAAGAGGCAAACTGAGAAAATTATAATTGGTATTTTGCTTTGTTTCAGTCAGCACTAGGCCTATAACTACAGTTCAAATGTAAAAATAAGTAACGGTAGCCTAAGTTTATGTGATGAAAGTGAAAGCAATATTATATATACTGCATATGGTCACTATTAAGCCGAGGGCTTAGCCACCTCATATCTTCCATAGCTAAGAGTCTGAGTCTATATAAAATGAAAGAAAAATTGTAAAGAAAATTTATAGAACAAATATTTATCAATGTGTAATCACCTAGTAACCGTTAACCTCAATTCAGAATAAAATTTCAAACATCATATCATTCAGTTACGCTTGAAATAAAATTAGCCTTTCTAATAACATTGAATGATTTCGAAATTTACTTTCTATTTCTATATTTATAAATAGCTCAAGTTCCATTTTATCTGTTTAAACGTTAAAAAAAATTGTCTTATATATTCTAAATAATTAGTAAAACGGATTTTAAAAAATTACAAAAGTAAAAGTCATTCGTTTACTGTAATGTAATCTTTTTCAATTCATGCCTGAGTCAATTTTAGTACCTCTACCAGTTCAAGGGAGAGACGCTCAAGTAATGGCGCCTGAAATACATGTAAATTAACTTTCTTGCACTTAAAAATAATAAGAAAAATAAATAAAATATTAAAACGTTATGCGAAAATTCCGAAATTAAAAATTTATTTATTATGTTAACTATATAAAATATATAAGTTAATATAGTTAAATAAAACATTTGATTATCTACAGAATTTATTATGATCATTTTAACATTGTAGATTATATCTAATTTAAATATTTTTTTTGCTTGTGTAAATTCATAAAACTAATTATGAAAGTAACTTAAATCGAAACAGGTTTTATGTCTATCAGTTATTTATAGATAACTTTGAATGCTAAAAATTTTACGAGACATTTATGACATAACATTTAAAAATATCGAAGGGATAAAGCTACTTGCAATAACACAAACAGAATAACAGTAGACGTATTCTATAATTATATCATTACACAGAAAGCAAACATCATCTGTACACAATTTTAGCAGCAAGTGATTCTTAGATTGATTTTAACCGAACGTTAATAACGAAAAGTGTAGTACTTACTACTTGTTTACGGATAACAGGAAATTAAGAAATTGTTTCGTTGATGTTTGGAAGCGGGTAAGTTTTCAATGTGGCGTGTTGCAGCATTTCCGACAATACTGAGTCGTTTGCGCATTAGCACCTTCGCTTCGGCTTTGTGTTTGACTTGTAGTACTACTTTTCACACTCCGTTTCGAATATTAGATTGAAGTTATTTTTGAATAATCGAGAATTATTCAAAACTTATTTTGATATTACTTTTGAATATTTATATATTTGAGAGATATAAATAAATTATTTTTCTCTCTGTTATATTCCAACTAGCAAATGAACTCGGCGTTGCTCGGCAAAAAGTAACGATACATAAAATTAAGATTATTAGATTATAGGCCGATCTTTCCTATTTTCACCAGGTGCAAGAATTAGGTTCACCATCTTTCGAGACTAATTACAAAATTTTTAGATGGGTATAAAAGTATGTTCGATTTCCCGCAAAATCCGTATCTAAAATAGTACAGTAAAATTCGAATTTAGGGTAATACTTAATACCCCTCTCTCTCTCCCCTGCGGAGAAAAAATTTTAGAAAATCCCTTCTTAGTGTACATTTTCATGACGTGCTTACTGTGTACCAAATTTCAAATTTCAACTCTTAATCGTTTGGGCTCTGTGCTTATTATTATTATTATCATTATCAACCCATCTCAATTATAAGATAATAATAACAGCATAATAATCTATCCTCTCATATATCTATCCCTTTGTACAGTACAGAATCACTTTCTTTGTAATATACAACTCAACTGGAGAAGAATCTTCTATATTTTAATTATATTTATTTATTTATTATAATAAATTCATTTATAGAGAAAAAATAGAAAAATACATACGAATGATCTTGTCACTTTTGATCGGCATCTTTTCACCTATTTGTGGAATGTTTATAAAAGAAATGATACGATAAAGCACTACCTAATATACTCTATATATTGATGAAGACAATAGATGATAAAATCTTAATTCCTTCAGACCTCTAATGCAATTTTTTATTATTTTTCTATATACGATTACCGTTAATTTTTTCGCACGATCATTCGTTTTATTTTTTATTCTAAATTTTGATGACGTCACCCCAGTAAAAAGTTGCTATTATTTAGACTAAAGTAGATTGAAGAATTAATCGACGAGCAAAGGTCGATCCATATTGTTAGATAAAAATATCTAGTTGAAACTCTGTGTGATAAATAAGATTATGGATTGTTTTTGTGTTCCGATTTGGTTTCGCATCGAATATTTGAACTCATTAACTGGATGGCCGAGAGGTTTAGGTGGCCTACCCTAAGGGGATCCAGGATCGAATCCGGACAGGTCAAAAAACTTTAGAAATTTATAAGGGGGTGGTCCGTCCAGATATGTCGGGCCCCTTCCCTCAGCTAAAACTAGAACGGAAAGTGTTAAATCAAGCAAATTAAAAAATATTAATTATAAATCGAGCAAAATAATGCGATACTATCGATAGTATTACCTCCCATCAAATTCTATCGAAAGCTTTAAAATTATCGATAGTTTTCCTATCGATAGTGCTATCACCATTACTCATAATTATTTTATTTAACTTGCTTCGTATCGTCTTCAAATCATGTAATCACTTATATTTCATCCATTTCTAATCAAGATAGAGGCTGAAACTATGAGGACATATCTAAGACAATGCATTTTAATGATGTTTTAGGGGTGACTTACGCCCATCATCATCTACTCCATCCTCGAAAAACGTGACTAATAAAAGCGTTAAATTTTTTTTAATATCTTAAATCAACGGTATTCAAACATTTTCACAGTAGGATCCCGCATGGGTCATTGAGGTAACATGCTGACCTAAAATTAAAATACCTGTAATCAATAATCTAGTTCTAATTGCTCAAAAACTAGGACTAGGTAATATTAAAATTCAGGAAGATTCTAATTTGTTTTTTTTTATTTCATACAAAACAAACATTAGTGTCAAAACAATTACAATAAACTGAAAACAACTCTGTAGTTACCAAATATTAGATTGAAAAATTGATCAGCATTATTCATTTATAACTTTTAAAATTAAAATATGACGTATAACACGTAGGAACTTAAAAGAAATTCAGTTTAAAAAAATACAAAAGAAAAATATTTAATGAGACCTATGAGTCTGTTTCTTGTTTACAAGTAGTGGTATTTCTGGCTCTATTTTGCTCAATTTGAGTCCTAAAGGTGGCTCTATTGCTAATTTGTTTCGATATTTAGATTTTAAGTAGAGAAATTGGGACAATCCAATCTCACACATATAAGATGTTGCAAATGGTAATAATACCTTTAGAGCTGCATCAGACAATTCTGGATATTCATTTTGAACTTTTAGCCAAAAATGACTCAATTTAAGCTCTTTGAAAGCAAATTTTAATTTTCCATCAGATGATAACTCAGTTTTTCGCTTAAATTTAATGATAAGTTTTTGGGTAATACATACTGAAAGGGATTCCGGATCCATTCAGAGTCAGAAAAATCTTCCGGAAAATAAGTATTAAATTGATATTTAAGATCTGTCAAGTGACTTGTTATATCTTTAATAACCGATTGATTAACTTTTACTTTGTTTTCTATAACAAAACTTTCTAAAGTAGGAAATGCTGCAAAATTAATCTCCTTGCAGTATGAGCACCACAAGTCTATTTTCTTTGTAAAGGCTTTGATTTTATCATTGTCCATAAATATATTTAATTGTTCATCTTGAAGACTTAAATTCAACTCGTTCAATTTGAGAAAAATATCACTCAAGTAAGCTAACCTACATAGCCATTCTTCATCAGTTAAAATAAATTGTATAAATTTTTTATCTTTATCATTGTCATTTAAAAATACATATACCTCATCTTTAAGTTCAAATAGCCTCTACTTTCTTGAACCGTGTCGGTGATTATTTGTCGTTTTTGAACACTATATACTTCATACACACAACACAAGACAATCTTCATTGTAAATTTATTCAATTTTTAGTTGATACATGTATCTGTTTTTTGTACATGTTTCGGGCTTCTGTAGGCCCCTCCTCAGCCAACTAAAATTATATAATACATACGAATTACAACATAAAAATATATAAAAATTTTTTACACAAAAATCCCTTTACATATATAAGTGAAATCATAACATAAAATTCTTACATAAAAACTTTTTCATAATTATTACAGAACGTACCTTACGAAAAATTCCAAAAATGTTCGAAGATCCTCTATAATTTCTCTTAACTGATGATCGATTTTAATTTTCTAGTTATTCAATAAAGTAATTACAGTAATACCCCCGAACTTACGCGATAGGTGGGACCGAGCGGTAACCGCGTAAGTCGGGGTATAATTTTGCATATAAATACATACAAATAATTTTTAATTGGGGCCGGAGACTAAAGAAAACAATAATTTAGAAAAAAATGTTTAATAAAATCTTAGATAATACATATGATGTATTATCTAAGATTTTATTAAAATTTTTCATTTTACAATTTTTCATTTACAATTTTTCATATTTACTTGATTATTACGCCATAATTTTAACATTGTTTCCATCTCAGTGATAATACTGTGACGTTTAAGAATGATGCTTGAATTTAATAATGAAAGATTTCAATATTACATTTAAATTTAATAAAATTTCATTGTTTTTAGGGCTATAATGCTGAAATTACGTTTCTATTTGATAAGAATCATAGTATTAAACAATTACATTAAAAATATTTTTCAAATGAATTATTGAGTTATGAAATATTATTTCAAAATTTTGTAGACGGTGAAATTTTCCTGAAAAATTTCTAAGTTAAGTCCTATAGAAACTTCATACGACTACAAATTTAGGCTTACAAAGAAAAAGTAACGTAATATTTTCTATGAATTGAGGCACTGTATACTGTACTTATTAATCTTACTTACAGAAGTATTAATACCATTGTCTTCAATTATTTTTCGACAGATGGCGTTGTATACATAATTATAATGGATCCTAATCTGTGGTTTGTTTATTATTTTCATTTTAATCATTTCTTGATAACTAGCAAGATGTCAGCTTAAAACATATGGTCTCGAGAAAAGTAAGGCAAGTGACATAATGTTTAGTGCTGCCAAAGAAATAATAAGAGAAGAGTTCTCTTTTTTATCTAAGGTAGGCTACTGTTTATATTCGTACATTGAAATTTTTTAGCAGCTTTCTTCTCTGTTGTTTGTTGACTATTATGACGTATTTTGAATCGAATTGACTTTATTGGTCTTGTGATTTTTAATGCTTTTTTTAAATTTTTGATTAATTGTTTGGTAATTGTTTTTTGTGCAAGAAGTAACGCCATCTAGAGAATAAATAATGAACTAGTTAGTTAGTTTACAGTATTTGTTTTCATAACAATGCCATTCTACCACGTGGAACATGTTTACTAAATCTTTAAAAAATACAGTATAATATTTCTGGATCATGAACGAATGGGAAATAAATAATTTGTTTTAAAAATTCTTTGATTTAATTAATTAAATTAATAGAAATTAAAGTAATTTATTAATGTTGCATTTTGTATGCCTTGTTTTTTATCATGTCATCAAAAAATAAGGCATACAAACTACAATATAATAAATAACTGCATATATAAATGAATATAACAACTGCATATAAATAACTGCAATATAAATCATATAAAATGAAGTTTTTCAAAAAATGTTAAATATATATACCCTAATAAAAGTAATGTATGCTTCATGCCTATCCTTTACTGTATAACATAATTGCACTTACGTGTTATGGCGTTACCAACAGTGAAATTGAAGTATAAATGAGTTCACAAGCATTTTCGATAGCATAAAGCTTTATTCTATCGAAAATGCTTGTGAACTCATTTATACTTCAAATTCACCATTGGTAACACCACAACACGTAAGTGCAATTTTGTTGTATGGTTAACCTGTGATTCGTTGTGTGGATGACTCCTTCAGTAAATTTGAACTATGAAAAAAATACCTAAAGATATGGATAATGAATTGGGAATTTATATTAGATTCAATCCATACTTATTTCTGTTTAATCAGATATTTCTTTAGATAGTTGCATTGGGCCGGTTGAATAAAAAGTAGTAAATGCTTGAAAGTTATTAGTAAAAGTAAAAGTACTTATTGTAAGTAAAAGCTTTGAAGTAAAAATACTTACTTTTTTAAGTGTGAATAAAAGTTTACTTTTACATATTAGTAAATGCTTGCACTTTTAAATAAATACTGTCAACACTATCAAAATGGCAGTGCTATGTGAAGAAGGAAGCCAACTCATCTTTGAAAATGTTTAAAAAAAATATAGTATATTTTTAAATAAATCATAGGTTCCTGCTATTAAAAGAAGAAAAGAAATTGCCCTGCAACAAATAATTGAAGGACTGAAGATAAATCATGCAATTGAGATGAATAAGAAACTACTCTTGAAGAAACTGAACAATGTGAAAACTGACTAAAAAGAAGACGGATCTGAAACAGACTGGGAATAAACCAATTGTGCTAAAAGAATGGAAAAAAGTGATTTTTGATTTGCTGGATGGAGAGATGAACCTGACTGTAAATTATATTGCAGTTAAGTAAACAACAAAGCAAAGTTATGAATTTATCCTGATTTAGCAGAATGAGTCATTGGTCAATGAAAGCATTTTAGCTGTGTTACTTTCGACTAGCAAATAATTTTTGTTAATTATTGGTGCACAGTCTAGGCATATTGCCAGGCCCCAGCAGTTAAAACCTAAGTGAATTTGACAATGAGAGGGATGAAAGGCTGAAGAAAAGTCTTTTATATCTTCCATACCTCCACCATCTTATGGAAATGAAAAGAAAAGAATTAAATGAAGTAAATATTAAAAAACTTTGCAGATGGTGTTTAATTTTTAAAAATACAAAATTTTTATGAACTTTTTTGCTTTCTTTTCATAACTTGTATTTTTAAAAAGAAAAGAAAAGAAAATGTATTCTTTCAGAGGAAACCAAATTCTTATCAAACAGTGAGTTACAATTGTTGCTTCATGAACAACTGGAATTCATAATGAAGAAGAAGGGGCAACTCAATGAACTGCCCTCACTGACCATATTTTTACTGCCATTGAGTTCTGAATCATCAGANTACGAACGTACCCATTATTAAAGACTTCGATACAAAAATGAAAATTTGTGAATTGGCAAAGAAGTTTGATCTACCGGAATTGTCGGCCAGAACAATTATAAAAAGCAAAGAAAAAATTCTTGAAGCTGTGAAAAATGCTCAATCTTTAAATTCAAGCATCATTCGTAAACGTCACAGTATTATCGCTGAGATGGAAACAATGTTAAAATTATGGCGTAATAATCAAGTAAATGTGAAAAATTGTAAAATAATATAGGTTTGTTTGTTATAATTTGTTATACATATGTATTATCTAAGATTTTATTAAACATTTTTTTCTAAATTATTGTTTTCTTTAGTCTCCGGCCCCAATTAAAAATATTTGTATGTATTTATATACGAAATTATACCCCGACTTACGCGAATTCGACTTACGCGGTTACCGCTCGGTCCCACCTATCGCGTAAGTTCGGGGTATTACTGTACTCTAATACTATACAAACAATTCTATAATGTAATTATTTAAATAATTCTTTTCTTCTAAAAATTTGACGTCGTTTTAATCTACAAATTTACTTATTCATTTATTTATTATAATAAATTCATTTATAGAGAAAAAATAGAAAAATACATACGAATGATCTTGTCACTTTTGATCGGCATCTTTTCACCTATTTGTGGAATGTTTATAAAAGAAATGATACGATAAAGCACTACCTAATATACTCTATATATTGATGAAGACAATAGATGATAAAATCTTAATTCCTTCAGACCTCTAATGCAATTTTTTATTATTTTTCTATATACGATTACCGTTAATTTTTTCGCACGATCATTCGTTTTATTTTTTATTCTAAATTTTGATGACGTCACCCCAGTAAAAAGTTGCTATTATTTAGACTAAAGTAGATTGAAGAATTAATCGACGAGCAAAGGTCGATCCATATTGTTAGATAAAAATATCTAGTTGAAACTCTGTGTGATAAATAAGATTATGGATTGTTTTTGTGTTCCGATTTGGTTTCGCATCGAATATTTGAACTCATTAACTGGATGGCCGAGAGGTTTAGGTGGCCTACCCTAAGGGGATCCAGGATCGAATCCGGACAGGTCAAAAAACTTTAGAAATTTATAAGGGGGTGGTCCGTCCAGATATGTCGGGCCCCTTCCCTCAGCTAAAACTAGAACGGAAAGTGTTAAATCAAGCAAATTAAAAAATATTAATTATAAATCGAGCAAAATAATGCGATACTATCGATAGTATTACCTCCCATCAAATTCTATCGAAAGCTTTAAAATTATCGATAGTTTTCCTATCGATAGTGCTATCACCATTACTCATAATTATTTTATTTAACTTGCTTCGTATCGTCTTCAAATCATGTAATCACTTATATTTCATCCATTTCTAATCAAGATAGAGGCTGAAACTATGAGGACATATCTAAGACAATGCATTTTAATGATGTTTTAGGGGTGACTTACGCCCATCATCATCTACTCCATCCTCGAAAAACGTGACTAATAAAAGCGTTAAATTTTTTTTAATATCTTAAATCAACGGTATTCAAACATTTTCACAGTAGGATCCCGCATGGGTCATTGAGGTAACATGCTGACCTAAAATTAAAATACCTGTAATCAATAATCTAGTTCTAATTGCTCAAAAACTAGGACTAGGTAATATTAAAATTCAGGAAGATTCTAATTTGTTTTTTTTTATTTCATACAAAACAAACATTAGTGTCAAAACAATTACAATAAACTGAAAACAACTCTGTAGTTACCAAATATTAGATTGAAAAATTGATCAGCATTATTCATTTATAACTTTTAAAATTAAAATATGACGTATAACACGTAGGAACTTAAAAGAAATTCAGTTTAAAAAAATACAAAAGAAAAATATTTAATGAGACCTATGAGTCTGTTTCTTGTTTACAAGTAGTGGTATTTCTGGCTCTATTTTGCTCAATTTGAGTCCTAAAGGTGGCTCTATTGCTAATTTGTTTCGATATTTAGATTTTAAGTAGAGAAATTGGGACAATCCAATCTCACACATATAAGATGTTGCAAATGGTAATAATACCTTTAGAGCTGCATCAGACAATTCTGGATATTCATTTTGAACTTTTAGCCAAAAATGACTCAATTTAAGCTCTTTGAAAGCAAATTTTAATTTTCCATCAGATGATAACTCAGTTTTTCGCTTAAATTTAATGATAAGTTTTTGGGTAATACATACTGAAAGGGATTCCGGATCCATTCAGAGTCAGAAAAATCTTCCGGAAAATAAGTATTAAATTGATATTTAAGATCTGTCAAGTGACTTGTTATATCTTTAATAACCGATTGATTAACTTTTACTTTGTTTTCTATAACAAAACTTTCTAAAGTAGGAAATGCTGCAAAATTAATCTCCTTGCAGTATGAGCACCACAAGTCTATCCCGACTTACGCGAATTCGACTTACGCGGTTACCGCTCGGTCCCACCTATCGCGTAAGTTCGGGGTATTACTGTACTCTAATACTATACAAACAATTCTATAATGTAATTATTTAAATAATTCTTTTCTTCTAAAAATTTGACGTCGTTTTAATCTACAAATTTACTTATTCATTTATTTATTATAATAAATTCATTTATAGAGAAAAAATAGAAAAATACATACGAATGATCTTGTCACTTTTGATCGGCATCTTTTCACCTATTTGTGGAATGTTTATAAAAGAAATGATACGATAAAGCACTACCTAATATACTCTATATATTGATGAAGACAATAGATGATAAAATCTTAATTCCTTCAGACCTCTAATGCAATTTTTTATTATTTTTCTATATACGATTACCGTTAATTTTTTCGCACGATCATTCGTTTTATTTTTTATTCTAAATTTTGATGACGTCACCCCAGTAAAAAGTTGCTATTATTTAGACTAAAGTAGATTGAAGAATTAATCGACGAGCAAAGGTCGATCCATATTGTTAGATAAAAATATCTAGTTGAAACTCTGTGTGATAAATAAGATTATGGATTGTTTTTGTGTTCCGATTTGGTTTCGCATCGAATATTTGAACTCATTAACTGGATGGCCGAGAGGTTTAGGTGGCCTACCCTAAGGGGATCCAGGATCGAATCCGGACAGGTCAAAAAACTTTAGAAATTTATAAGGGGGTGGTCCGTCCAGATATGTCGGGCCCCTTCCCTCAGCTAAAACTAGAACGGAAAGTGTTAAATCAAGCAAATTAAAAAATATTAATTATAAATCGAGCAAAATAATGCGATACTATCGATAGTATTACCTCCCATCAAATTCTATCGAAAGCTTTAAAATTATCGATAGTTTTCCTATCGATAGTGCTATCACCATTACTCATAATTATTTTATTTAACTTGCTTCGTATCGTCTTCAAATCATGTAATCACTTATATTTCATCCATTTCTAATCAAGATAGAGGCTGAAACTATGAGGACATATCTAAGACAATGCATTTTAATGATGTTTTAGGGGTGACTTACGCCCATCATCATCTACTCCATCCTCGAAAAACGTGACTAATAAAAGCGTTAAATTTTTTTTAATATCTTAAATCAACGGTATTCAAACATTTTCACAGTAGGATCCCGCATGGGTCATTGAGGTAACATGCTGACCTAAAATTAAAATACCTGTAATCAATAATCTAGTTCTAATTGCTCAAAAACTAGGACTAGGTAATATTAAAATTCAGGAAGATTCTAATTTGTTTTTTTTTATTTCATACAAAACAAACATTAGTGTCAAAACAATTACAATAAACTGAAAACAACTCTGTAGTTACCAAATATTAGATTGAAAAATTGATCAGCATTATTCATTTATAACTTTTAAAATTAAAATATGACGTATAACACGTAGGAACTTAAAAGAAATTCAGTTTAAAAAAATACAAAAGAAAAATATTTAATGAGACCTATGAGTCTGTTTCTTGTTTACAAGTAGTGGTATTTCTGGCTCTATTTTGCTCAATTTGAGTCCTAAAGGTGGCTCTATTGCTAATTTGTTTCGATATTTAGATTTTAAGTAGAGAAATTGGGACAATCCAATCTCACACATATAAGATGTTGCAAATGGTAATAATACCTTTAGAGCTGCATCAGACAATTCTGGATATTCATTTTGAACTTTTAGCCAAAAATGACTCAATTTAAGCTCTTTGAAAGCAAATTTTAATTTTCCATCAGATGATAACTCAGTTTTTCGCTTAAATTTAATGATAAGTTTTTGGGTAATACATACTGAAAGGGATTCCGGATCCATTCAGAGTCAGAAAAATCTTCCGGAAAATAAGTATTAAATTGATATTTAAGATCTGTCAAGTGACTTGTTATATCTTTAATAACCGATTGATTAACTTTTACTTTGTTTTCTATAACAAAACTTTCTAAAGTAGGAAATGCTGCAAAATTAATCTCCTTGCAGTATGAGCACCACAAGTCTATTTTCTTTGTAAAGGCTTTGATTTTATCATTGTCCATAAATATATTTAATTGTTCATCTTGAAGACTTAAATTCAACTCGTTCAATTTGAGAAAAATATCACTCAAGTAAGCTAACCTACATAGCCATTCTTCATCAGTTAAAATAAATTGTATAAATTTTTTATCTTTATCATTGTCATTTAAAAATACATATACCTCATCTTTAAGTTCAAATAGCCTCTACTTTCTTGAACCGTGTCGGTGATTATTTGTCGTTTTTGAACACTATATACTTCATACACACAACACAAGACAATCTTCATTGTAAATTTATTCAATTTTTAGTTGATACATGTATCTGTTTTTTGTACATGTTTCGGGCTTCTGTAGGCCCCTCCTCAGCCAACTAAAATTATATAATACATACGAATTACAACATAAAAATATATAAAAATTTTTTACACAAAAATCCCTTTACATATATAAGTGAAATCATAACATAAAATTCTTACATAAAAACTTTTTCATAATTATTACAGAACGTACCTTACGAAAAATTCCAAAAATGTTCGAAGATCCTCTATAATTTCTCTTAACTGATGATCGATTTTAATTTTCTAGTTATTCAATAAAGTAATTACAGTAATACCCCCGAACTTACGCGATAGGTGGGACCGAGCGGTAACCGCGTAAGTCGGGGTATAATTTTGCATATAAATACATACAAATAATTTTTAATTGGGGCCGGAGACTAAAGAAAACAATAATTTAGAAAAAAATGTTTAATAAAATCTTANACAAAGTTGTCTTTAATTTGAATGAACTTTATTGTAAATTATAGTATTGTATTGGCATAATCGCCAGAAGTTTATCCATTTTGCATTTTATTGCGGAGGAGTAGCCTCAAAAAAAGATAGTGTGAGACTCAGCATTGTTTACTTAACTACAGCCTGACCTAAATCTTTAACGATACCATTTTATCGTTGAATTAAATATCAAATTTCACACCTGGGAGTTAATCACTTAGCAAGTTCTCAGTGGCTAAAGGATGCTTTCACATAACCTTCCGACCTATTGTTGCAAGTTTGTCAAGTGAATATAGCAACAGACCGATTTTCGGGGCAGTCGCAGCCGTTCCTCCGATGGTTACAGTCGTCAGCTCCCACGCATCACGTTCGTGTTATGCTTCCTATTTGGATTAACTTCAAATGGACTTATTACGTGCCTCCTATGTGAATTATCTGCATCGCCAAATGGACTTATTAAATGCCTAATTTAACGTCGGATTAACTATAACTTTGACTAACGTCGTTGCCAGAACCAGAACTTAGATTAAGTCGAGAACCTTAAGATCCATTTAAGAATCAATCAAACTCCACCAGGTATTTATCGCCACGCGAACTATTGTAAACTCTCTCTCTCGAGAACGCTCATTTAAACTTTACTATCGAAACTATCGACATATTGTATTTCCCATCGTTACCCATTAATTAAACAGTTGTTATGATAGCTATCTAGTCTCTGAAGGAATCACTTCCGGTGCGCTGTCTTTCTCTCACTCCATCCCGAATCAGATCGCTCAGTAAAACTCGGCCGCTCGCGTGACCTATTTCAAAATCGCCACGGCTTCCGGGTCAAGCAAGATCCGGTGGTGTCTATCCTGACAAGGCATCGAGGAGGTGCCGACTCTCCAGTCACATTAATCTCCGTAACTGAAAATTGTTTTTGAATGTCACTGGTGTTTATAACGACGAAACACGAAGACAATTTTGTAACGTCGGTAAATTTTATTTATTTATCTTATATTTTTAGTTTGGATGTAAATGTTAAGTTTTTAAAAAATGTTTATGGTGTAAAAATGTGTTAATAAAAGTTACATTATAAAAATAAACTATACTACTCCTAAATACTATTTTACATAGATAACATATAGATATACAGAATTTTAAGTTCCATCTTACCTTAAAAATAATTTGGTTAAATTATAGAGATAGAAATTATATATATACACCTGAATATATATTCATATATTAATTTATAATAATCAGGAAATTTTTCTTTTATTAATTTCTATTCTCGCCCTGAGGATGGAAAAAGGTCCACAATGGAAAAATACCCTAAGGCCAAGACTCCACTAGCGTAAAAATGGGCGTTAAACCCTCGCCGTAAAAGCTTTATTCACGTGACCATGATATTTTACGCCCGAACAGGTCGTAAAACCAGCGTAAAAGCGAATGGAGAAGGCAAAGACTTCACTAGCGTAAAAACGGGCGTAAAAACTTTCGCCGTAACCTATTTGCGTTTGCGTCTGGATTGCGTGGAGGTCTGGCTAGCGAAGTTTTTACGGCGACGGTACTATCGAAGTTATAAAGACAATGATTGTATTCTACAAGTTTTTTCTATACTATAATTACAAATGTGGTAAAAATAATATCTTTACTTTCATATACAGTAGAGCGTCGATTTTCCGAATCAATTGGGGACTGGGATGGTTCGGATAACTTATTTTTCGGATAACGAATCATGTACGAAAAAATATATTAATTTATCCCATGTTGAAATTTTTCTCTGTTGCGTGTNGCGGTAACATATATTCAAATTATTAATTATAATAAAACTGATAAATTCAATGGAATTTTAATCTTGATTAATGATTTTTGAAAATACACTTCTATAAATTTTACGTAGTTCATAATAATCTTTTACAGCATAATAACTTTAAATACAACTAGGCTAATTGTTATGTCTTGCATAATAACTAGGCTTTTATAAATAAGCAATTATCGTTAATTAGAGTTATGTTTAAATCTTTAGAATTTATATCTTTCTATAATTATACACAAGCAGAATTTCAGTTAATCTATATTTTGTCTCTAATAAAAGATTAATCATGTAGGGCCTATATTTTATACGATTTATTAGATTTAATGTATGGGTTTCTTTAGGTTTAATGTAAACTTGTAGTTATTTCATGTTCTACATATTACATATTTTTCGTCATTTAAAATATTTTTAATATTCTAATAACAAATATATTTAGTATGTATAAGCAAAAATAAATGGCGAAATTTAAATTTATTCGTGACAAAAATAGATGATAAATTTTTTTATTAATAGAGTTATAACGCTTTGAGATGTTTACTTTATGATGACTAGCTGTTGCATTCACTAGATTTTAATTAAAAGATAACAAAAATTATTTTGCATTTAAAAATTCTCCGTTTTGTAATCTTGCGATTTTCAGAATACAAACACTAGAAACGGAAGACACCAGAGCAGAACTNTCATTGTTTTTAGGGCTATAATGCTGAAATTACGTTTCTATTTGATAAGAATCATAGTATTAAACAATTACATTAAAAATATTTTTCAAATGAATTATTGAGTTATGAAATATTATTTCAAAATTTTGTAGACGGTGAAATTTTCCTGAAAAATTTCTAAGTTAAGTCCTATAGAAACTTCATACGACTACAAATTTAGGCTTACAAAGAAAAAGTAACGTAATATTTTCTATGAATTCAGGCACTGTATACTGTACAGTACTTATTAATCTTACAGAAGTATTAATACCATTGTCTTCAATTATTTTTCGACAGATGGCGTTGTATACATAATTATAATGGATCCTAATCTGTGGTTTGTTTATTATTTTCATTTTAATCATTTCTTGATAACTAGCAAGATGTCAGCTTAAAACATATGGTCTCGAGAAAAGTAAGGCAAGTGACATAATGTTTAGTGCTGCCAAAGAAATAATAAGAGAAGAGTTCTCTTTTTTATCTAAGGTAGGCTACTGTTTATATTCGTACATTGAAATTTTTTAGCAGCTTTCTTCTCTGTTGTTTGTTGACTATTATGACGTATTTTGAATCGAATTGACTTTATTGGTCTTGTGATTTTTAATGCTTTTTTTAAATTTTTGATTAATTGTTTGGTAATTGTTTTTTGTGCAAGAAGTAACGCCATCTAGAGAATAAATAATGAACTAGTTAGTTAGTTTACAGTATTTGTTTTCATAACAATGCCATTCTACCACGTGGAACATGTTTACTAAATCTTTAAAAAATACAGTATAATATTTCTGGATCATGAACGAATGGGAAATAAATAATTTGTTTTAAAAATTCTTTGATTTAATTAATTAAATTAATAGAAATTAAAGTAATTTATTAATGTTGCATTTTGTATGCCTTGTTTTTTATCATGTCATCAAAAAATAAGGCATACAAACTACAATATAATAAATAACTGCATATATAAATGAATATAACAACTGCATATAAATAACTGCAATATAAATCATATAAAATGAAGTTTTTCAAAAAATGTTAAATATATATACCCTAATAAAAGTAATGTATGCTTCATGCCTATCCTTTACTGTATAACATAATTGCACTTACGTGTTATGGCGTTACCAACAGTGAAATTGAAGTATAAATGAGTTCACAAGCATTTTCGATAGCATAAAGCTTTATTCTATCGAAAATGCTTGTGAACTCATTTATACTTCAAATTCACCATTGGTAACACCACAACACGTAAGTGCAATTTTGTTGTATGGTTAACCTGTGATTCGTTGTGTGGATGACTCCTTCAGTAAATTTGAACTATGAAAAAAATACCTAAAGATATGGATAATGAATTGGGAATTTATATTAGATTCAATCCATACTTATTTCTGTTTAATCAGATATTTCTTTAGATAGTTGCATTGGGCCGGTTGAATAAAAAGTAGTAAATGCTTGAAAGTTATTAGTAAAAGTAAAAGTACTTATTGTAAGTAAAAGCTTTGAAGTAAAAATACTTACTTTTTTAAGTGTGAATAAAAGTTTACTTTTACATATTAGTAAATGCTTGCACTTTTAAATAAATACTGTCAACACTATCAAAATGGCAGTGCTATGTGAAGAAGGAAGCCAACTCATCTTTGAAAATGTTTAAAAAAAATATAGTATATTTTTAAATAAATCATAGGTTCCTGCTATTAAAAGAAGAAAAGAAATTGCCCTGCAACAAATAATTGAAGGACTGAAGATAAATCATGCAATTGAGATGAATAAGAAACTACTCTTGAAGAAACTGAACAATGTGAAAACTGACTAAAAAGAAGACGGATCTGAAACAGACTGGGAATAAACCAATTGTGCTAAAAGAATGGAAAAAAGTGATTTTTGATTTGCTGGATGGAGAGATGAACCTGACTGTAAATTATATTGCAGTTAAGTAAACAACAAAGCAAAGTTATGAATTTATCCTGATTTAGCAGAATGAGTCATTGGTCAATGAAAGCATTTTAGCTGTGTTACTTTCGACTAGCAAATAATTTTTGTTAATTATTGGTGCACAGTCTAGGCATATTGCCAGGCCCCAGCAGTTAAAACCTAAGTGAATTTGACAATGAGAGGGATGAAAGGCTGAAGAAAAGTCTTTTATATCTTCCATACCTCCACCATCTTATGGAAATGAAAAGAAAAGAATTAAATGAAGTAAATATTAAAAAACTTTGCAGATGGTGTTTAATTTTTAAAAATACAAAATTTTTATGAACTTTTTTGCTTTCTTTTCATAACTTGTATTTTTAAAAAGAAAAGAAAAGAAAATGTATTCTTTCAGAGGAAACCAAATTCTTATCAAACAGTGAGTTACAATTGTTGCTTCATGAACAACTGGAATTCATAATGAAGAAGAAGGGGCAACTCAATGAACTGCCCTCACTGACCATATTTTTACTGCCATTGAGTTCTGAATCATCAGAACATTCAGAAACTTTGTAAATCAGTTAAAAACGTTTGTATGAAAAATAAGTAAAATAATTCTGCCTGACAAAATAATAAAGTTTAAGTTTTTCAATTACATTTTTTTGAATTTACAGTTTGGTTTGGTTATATTCATTTACAGTAATGTGACATATGGATGCTCTTCTGAGGGGGAATATCTCATGGGAGGTCTTTTATGAGAAACTGGCCCTTATTAAGATGTTACTAACATGAAGAAAACCCAGAAAACTCTACAGTCAGCTTGTTGGCCAGACATGAACATACAACTAACTACCAATATTCAGTGGTTTTATAAATTTGTCCACTGGTGGACCTTTTGAGGTTATATATAGTTCTTTTATTTTCAAAATGATTATCTTACAAAATTTACTTAGTTTAATCTATTTACATTTTTGGTCTTTTAATCTTGCTATAAAAGCCAAAAAAAGAAAATCACAGAGTTTATTGATTAGCAAACAAAATGTCACCAATGGTTTTCCTCATGTCTTTTCCTTGTTTATGAATTTGAACCTCTCTTTCCTCGCATGGATCATCATCTAAATCATTGCGATCCTGCAATATTTCATAGAATCCCAAGCAGTCATCATTTAGGTATTTTGATATATTGTGGAGAACAAAACAACAAATGATTAAAGAAGGTACTTGATCCAGCACAACTCATTACGTAGGAGGCCAAAATAGGACACCTGCATTTCACCTGCCCTAAACACACTCCTTCATAAACACTCTGTTAAAGTGTTCTTCTTCTTCTTCAAGAGTCTTTGGGTCATTATAGAGAGTCAACAATACTGTAATACTGGTGCAATACTGTAGCTATCATCTATGAGTACATCTTTGTAAGTTTATCTTCTTTTGTAAGTTCTGTCCTCCTATATGTCCTCTTTTTCGATATTTGAAGAATAATTTGTAAATCTCTGTGTTTGATCGATGCCGAGTCAATCCATTGCTTGTGATGAATATGACGTGTTTGTATTTGGCATGACGATTCATCAAGGATGAGTACAGTGCAGCAAGATGTGATTATGAGATGCATGTACTCTGCATGGAAGACCTTGAGAGAGTGTGCTGCGCACAAGTGGCTTTGTTTACTTCTTATCGAAATATGACATGGCACATACGCATGCAGTAGAGATTATTATAGTGTATTATTGTTGCAATGAATAAAATAAAATAAAAATGTTTCTTTTATTTACGATATTTTTTCCTTCAATTTATTTGTGTCCTCCTTTTCATTGTAAAAAAGTTGGTTACCTTAAATATCATTTAGATTGTGTCAAGCAATTTTAAAAGATTATTTGGACTTGCAGTATGTTGTTTGTTGAGTCATCCCAAAAACATTTCAATTTTTTCCAAAAACATGTCAGAGTCGCTAAGGAAATACTTTCTTAAGGTGGCTCATTCTTAAAATGCATCATTATGGGTGATGAAACAACATGGATCTATGCTTTTGATACCAAAACAGCTCAACAATTGAGTGAATGGCACTCTAATGGTGAAACAAGACTGAAAAGATCATGCCTAAGTCAGTCGAATATTAATGTCTTGTTGATTGTTCTCTTGATTTTCTTGGTGTTATGCATCATGAATTCCTTCCAACTGGTCAAACTGTTAACAAATAATATTATTGAACATTTTGTGTTTTTTACATGAAGCAGTTCAAAGAAAATGACCTGATTTGTGGCAAGAAAACTCATGGATTTTGCACAAAGATAATGTACCTGTTCACAATGCTTTTGTTGTTTATGAATTTTTGGCCAAATATGGTTCCACAAGCTCTGTATTTTTCCAATATGGCACTGTGTGACATTTTCCTGTTTCCTCAACTAAAATTTTGATTTATGGTCACTGTTTTGAGTCAATTGATGCTATAAAACAAAATTTGCTGCAAGTCCTGAAGGGATTTCACAAAAATGACTTTAAAGTATGTTTCAAGAATTGAAAAAAATATTGGCATAAGTGCATTGCAGTGGGAGGGATTAATTTAAAGGAGACAAAATAAATTTTGATGAATAAATTCAAATTTTGTATTTTATCGAATCATTTCTGATACATTTTGATCATGGTATATATAAAGTAAAATGTTATACAATAATAATATAATTTTGATATTTACATTTTTAGTATCCAGTATTAAATAAAGCCACATCTGAAAATGAAACTTCTATTTCTGGTTACTTATATAATGAAATTACAGGTAATAGTTACTTCATTTTTAAAATATAAAAATCTGAGATTTATATAAAATTTTAAAATTTGTTTTTTCTCAATTTTTTTTTTTAATTTTTTTTTTTTTTTTTTTTTGTGTTTCATATAGGAATAACATTTGAACATGATGGTCTTTTTTGTGAACAGCTTCTTGATTTTCTTTTAAATAAACTTCAAAAAGGTTCTAATAATGTTAAATTAAAGGTATATTTCCTGTTGTAATGAATTGTAGTGTAAAAATTGGTTTTTGAATTAAATGTTTATATTGTACAGTAGAGTCTCAATTATCCGACTCAATTGGGGACTGAGGTTGGTCGGATAATTGAAAAGTCGGATAACCAAAAAGTATGAAAAAATCCATTATTGTAGTATATTATTATATCCCATGTAATTAGTATATTAGTATATCACTATTAACCTACTTCACATTGAATTTTCCTCCATGTTAAGCCTATCAAATTTTTTTTTAAAATAATAATTGTTGCTATTGTATCGTTAAAAATTAGAAAATTAAGCCTCGTTTAAATACTGGCTCCCTTTCATGATTGAATGAATGTTGCCAGCTAAAACACATAAAAATAATAATAAAGTATCCAAGACATAGCCAAATATTGTAGCGCCACATCACTAGTGGACATTTGAAATTTGCCAACTAGGACAGTCGGTTAACCGAAGTGTTGGTTAATCAGGGGTCGGATAATCGAGGCTCTACTGTATATTTAATTCAATAACCAATAATATAATATATTTATATAAAAATTATATGAAAGTAATAGTATTAGAGTTTATTATTAATTATAATTAATAATTAATCAATTAGTTTACTTGATTAATAACTAAATTCTTAAATTAAATATGCTTACTTAAAATACAGAAAAATCCAATATTAACCTCCAATTCTTGATTAAAAAAACAATCATATTAAATACAATTTTAAAAAATCTATTTATTTTTTTTACACTTAAATTATAATTTCATAATATTTCATTTATCAATTTAATATAAATATCATTGACTATATAAAACATTCAAACATGCATCTCTCTTTTTTTTTTTTTTTTTAAATTTTAAGTTAATATGAATTTATTTATTTTTCTTAATGTAAGTTTGAATATTTTTGATGTTTCACATTGCCGTAAAATGTACCGTAATATTCTGCAAATAACCCACAGATTATCTGTGTTTTAGAAGTAAATTTGAAAGCAAATGCAGGTTATTTGATGGTATGGATTATCACTGATTTAACTTGTAACTAGAATTGTGAAGCCTCGGAAATTGTCCAAGAAAAAAAGGGAATGTAAAATTTATTAAGTTAAACCATCGAGAAAACAAGTAACATAAGTGTTGAGTCAGCGACACCAGACTTTGATATCATTGCTCAAAAAGAATAGTTGGGAAAACAATATTTTAGAATAAAAGAAAATTCGAAGAGGAAATATTTAAAACTTAAGACGCAATGAAGTAAAACGAAACAAGAATGTAAAAGAATGGGCGTGGGTGTTTTGATCATCAATAAAGCGCAATCAGGGTCGAGAGGATGGTGTCAAATAAACCATCCCTGGCAGACCTTTCTTGCAACCTAAACTGGTCTCAGTTTTCTCTAGAGACAGGTAAGAGACCAATGGGGGAGTGGGGAAGGGGAAGCCCGACCAATTAGAAATGAATCGATTCTGAAGAACTTATAAAACCTCCACCGTCAAGGACAAAGGAATTTTTCCTCTAGAATATACCCTTTGTGATCATTGCCTTCTTCTCTCCATGCTTCCGCTTGCTGCTATCTTGTGTTTCCTTTCTATNTCCAGCACAACTCATTACGTAGGAGGCCAAAATAGGACACCTGCATTTCACCTGCCCTAAACACACTCCTTCATAAACACTCTGTTAAAGTGTTCTTCTTCTTCTTCAAGAGTCTTTGGGTCATTATAGAGAGTCAACAATACTGTAATACTGGTGCAATACTGTAGCTATCATCTATGAGTACATCTTTGTAAGTTTATCTTCTTTTGTAAGTTCTGTCCTCCTATATGTCCTCTTTTTCGATATTTGAAGAATAATCTGTAAATCTCTGTGTTTGATCGATGCCGAGTCAATCCATTGCTTGTGATGAATATGACGTGTTTGTATTTGGCATGACGATTCATCAAGGATGAGTACAGTGCAGCAAGATGTGATTATGAGATGCATGTACTCTGCATGGAAGACCTTGAGAGAGTGTGCTGCGCACAAGTGGCTTTGTTTACTTCTTATCGAAATATGACACGGCACATACGCATGCAGTAGAGATTATTATAGTGTATTATTGTTGCAATGAATAAAATAAAATAAAAATGTTTCTTTTATTTACGATATTTTTTCCTTCAATTTATTTGTGTCCTCCTTTTCATTGTAAAAAAGTTGGTTACCTTAAATATCATTTAGATTGTGTCAAGCAATTTTAAAAGATTATTTGGACTTGCAGTATGTTGTTTGTTGAGTCATCCCAAAAACATTTCAATTTTTTCCAAAAACATGTCAGAGTCGCTAAGGAAATACTTTCTTAAGGTGGCTCATTCTTAAAATGCATCATTATGGGTGATGAAACAACATGGATCTATGCTTTTGATACCAAAACAGCTCAACAATTGAGTGAATGGCACTCTAATGGTGAAACAAGACTGAAAAGATCATGCCTAAGTCAGTCGAATATTAATGTCTTGTTGATTGTTCTCTTGATTTTCTTGGTGTTATGCATCATGAATTCCTTCCAACTGGTCAAACTGTTAACAAATAATATTATTGAACATTTTGTGTTTTTTACATGAAGCAGTTCAAAGAAAATGACCTGATTTGTGGCAAGAAAACTCATGGATTTTGCACAAAGATAATGTACCTGTTCACAATGCTTTTGTTGTTTATGAATTTTTGGCCAAATATGGTTCCACAAGCTCTGTATTTTTCCAATATGGCACTGTGTGACATTTTCCTGTTTCCTCAACTAAAATTTTGATTTATGGTCACTGTTTTGAGTCAATTGATGCTATAAAACAAAATTTGCTGCAAGTCCTGAAGGGATTTCACAAAAATGACTTTAAAGTATGTTTCAAGAATTGAAAAAAATATTGGCATAAGTGCATTGCAGTGGGAGGGATTAATTTAAAGGAGACAAAATAAATTTTGATGAATAAATTCAAATTTTGTATTTTATCGAATCATTTCTGATACATTTTGATCATGGTATATATAAAGTAAAATGTTATACAATAATAATATAATTTTGATATTTACATTTTTAGTATCCAGTATTAAATAAAGCCACATCTGAAAATGAAACTTCTATTTCTGGTTACTTATATAATGAAATTACAGGTAATAGTTACTTCATTTTTAAAATATAAAAATCTGAGATTTATATAAAATTTTAAAATTTGTTTTTTCTCAATTCTTTTTCTCAATTTTTTTTTTTTTTTTTTTTTTTTGTGTTTCATATAGGAATAACATTTGAACATGATGGTCTTTTTTGTGAACAGCTTCTTGATTTTCTTTTAAATAAACTTCAAAAAGGTTCTAATAATGTTAAATTAAAGGTATATTTCCTGTTGTAATGAATTGTAGTGTAAAAATTGGTTTTTGAATTAAATGTTTATATTGTACAGTAGAGTCTCAATTATCCGACTCAATTGGGGACTGAGGTTGGTCGGATAATTGAAAAGTCGGATAACCAAAAAGTATGAAAAAATCTATTAGTGTAGTATATTATTATATCCCATGTAATTAGTATATTAGTATATCACTATTAACCTACTTCACATTGAATTTTCCTCCATGTTAAGCCTATCAAATTTTTTTTTAAAATAATAATTGTTGCTATTGTATCGTTAAAAATTAGAAAATTAAGCCTCGTTTAAATACTGGCTCCCTTTCATGATTGAATGAATGTTGCCAGCTAAAACACATAAAAATAATAATAAAGTATCCAAGACATAGCCAAATATTGTAGCACCACATCACTAGTGGACATTTGAAATTTGCCAACTAGGACAGTCGGTTAACCGAAGTGTTGGTTAATCAGGGGTCGGATAATCGAGGCTCTACTGTATATTTAATTCAATAACCAATAATATAATATATTTATATAAAAATTATATGAAAGTAATAGTATTAGAAAGTAATTATAATTAATAATTAATCAATTAGTTTACTTGATTAATAACTAAATTCTTAAATTAAATATGCTTACTTAAAATACAGAAAAATCCAATATTAACCTCCAATTCTTGATTAAAAAAACAATCATATTAAATACAATTTTAAAAAATCTATTTATTTTTTTTACACTTAAATTATAATTTCATAATATTTCATTTATCAATTTAATATAAATATCATTGACTATATAAAACATTCAAACATGCATCTCTCTTTTTTTTTTTTTTTTTAAATTTTAAGTTAATATGAATTTATTTATTTTTCTTAATGTAAGTTTGAATATTTTTGATGTTTCACATTGCCGTAAAATGTACCGTAATATTCTGCAAATAACCCACAGATTATCTGTGTTTTAGAAGTAAATTTGAAAGCAAATGCAGGTTATTTGATGGTATGGATTATCACTGATTTAACTTGTAACTAGAATTGTGAAGCCTCGGAAATTGTCCAAGAAAAAAAGGGAATGTAAAATTTATTAAGTTAAACCATCGAGAAAACAAGTAACATAAGTGTTGAGTCAGCGACACCAGACTTTGATATCATTGCTCAAAAAGAATAGTTGGGAAAACAATATTTTAGAATAAAAGAAAATTCGAAGAGGAAATATTTAAAACTTAAGACGCAATGAAGTAAAACGAAACAAGAATGTAAAAGAATGGGCGTGGGTGTTTTGATCATCAATAAAGCGCAATCAGGGTCGAGAGGATGGTGTCAAATAAACCATCCCTGGCAGACCTTTCTTGCAACCTAAACTGGTCTCAGTTTTCTCTAGAGACAGGTAAGAGACCAATGGGGGAGTGGGGA